TCACTATTTAGCTTCTCTGAGTTGTAAAGATACTTTTATTATCTAACATTGACACTCCATGTTACTCATATTTCTATAGTATTTTAAGGATTTTAGAAGAGATTATTTGAATTGGGGGTAGTGGGAATGGGAAGAAAATATGAGAAATAGAAACCAGGACTGTGGGAACAGAACTGCTCTTTCCTGAAACCATTAACACCAACCATGGCTCCTAATCCTGCCATACAAAATCACCTATTGTACTATTCTATTGTAGGGAACTAACATGATTGCTTCATATTACCATATGAACAGTAACTTCCAAACATTGATACTCCAATACTTGGTAATATCATTACTCCCCTAACCCCCTTCCGTAAATACGTCTCTCTTGCCAACCTCCGAAGATAAGCTATTCTTTCTAGACTCGAAGAATTTTAGACTTGGGAAGGACATAAGATTGAGCTGGGAAGGACCTTAGGGGTTTAGACCAACCCCCTCATTTCACAGATGAAAAAACTGAAGCCCCGAGAGTTTAAGTGATTTGCACAGGGTGATATAGTTAGTGTCTGAGATAGGTCTGCCTGATCCCAAATCCAGCACATTCTACACCATACCATCCTACCTCTCAACTTCATTTTATGACTAAGGAAACGGAGACTCAGAGTGGTGAGACAATTTGCCCAAGTGAATTGGTGGCATAGCTGAGACCATCAGTACCAAGGTCTCTTGACTCCTAGTTCCAGGGCTCTTTCTGCCATATTTCTTCAGTTCTTAGATATTCCTCCATAGTACTGAAGGTACTCAAAATTTGACAACTGACTACACAATTGTGTTTCTCAGACTCAGAGAAAATGTAACTTGAGCACTTGAGTATCTATGTAAACTCCCTTGTAAGGCTCAATGTATTATTCCCTTCTCTAAGACCAGAGCCCTAGCAATAAGGGGGGAAACTAGTTCATCTCAATCAAGGATGAAAATCCTACATTGTAGTCCATAGCACTGGTACCAAACTCAAATAGAAATGGATGCCTTTAGGCCACATGCTAACTTAGAAAACCACAAATTAACATTATCTATGTTGTATTATATTTTTGTTAAACATTTCCCAATTACATTTATTCTGGTTCCAGCCAGTCAAGGAGTCATTACCTCCAACCATAAAGATGATGGACTTAAAAATGCAGAATGAGACATACATTTTTAGACATGGTCAAAGTATGAATTTGTTTTGATGGACTATGCATATTTGTTATGATGGTTTTATTTTTCTAATTATTATTCAATGTGAAGGAGTGACAAGAAATGCTCGGTAAAAATAAACAACCAGGAAATGCTAAATAATCTTTGGCAACTAACAAAAGACACACCATGATTTTAAATTGTATTATTTACTTATTGATGCTGCTTTTTCTTTTCTTTTCTTTTCTTTTCTTTTTTGGTGAGGCAATTGGGGTTAAGTGACTTGCCTAGGGTCACACAGCTAGTATCAAGTGTCTGAGGCCAGATTTGAACTCAGGTCCTCCTGACTTCAGGGCCGGTGTTCTATCCACTGCGCCTCCTAGCTGCCCCTTCTGCTTTTTCTCTTGATGAAAAATAGATCAGAATCTTACACTAAAATCTATGATAAATGAATCATGCCTCAGTTTTTATTCATGTAATTTATCAATCTTAGAACTACTAATATAGTGGAAGAAGCAAAAATAAAAAGAAAAAATGCTATGTGCAAATTAGAGTATAGAAAATATAAGAGAAAGCTCATTTCCTCCATTATAGTATGTAATGTTCCTTTAGCAGAGGCTAATCAGAACACAGTGGGGGAAACACAAACATTGGAATACTATCCAAAGGGTGAGGTTTAGCCTAGTGGAAATGAAAACATTACGTGCTATAAATATATGTGCACATGCTCTGTGAACATATTTAAAAATACTCATATATGGATGTCTTCTATTTCACCTACATTCACACAAATGGAAATTGAAGGGGAGTAAATTAGGTGGAAAAAATGAAATGGTGTAGTAAAACTGTTCTTTTAGCTCAAGCAGCAGGGATCTGAAGTTTACAGCAGCATAAAACACCAAATCAGAAGTGGCTAGAAGCATTAGAAATTTCAGCCAGTGAAATTATGGCCCTTCCCTTTTCTTGGCAAAACATTTTAAGTTTTTCTATTTCTTCATGATATAAAAGTACAGTGAGTACAGCAATGTTTCCCAAACTACTCCACAGAATGCACATTCTACATAAAGTTTAGAAAAGTGCATCATGTACATATTACCTCACAGGATCCTCACAAGAGCCCTCTATGGTAGGTGGTAGGAGTATTACCCCCATTTTTACAGATGATGGAACCAGGATTCAAAGTCTCATAGCTAAAGAGCTATATATTCAAAGTATATGGCTAAAGAGGAGAAGTAGGATTCAAATCCTCATCTTCAGAATCCACATCTAATGGTCATTCCATTTACATCATGTTCTTTTGTAGAAAAAGTAAGGATCTAAGGCGAAGTCCTTAGTAACCCAAAACTTGGCTATTTAGTAAAACTCTCCTTTTGAGTAAAGAGAAAACTTCTTGAAGACCTTGTCTAGATGGTTTCGCAGCAGAAGGTAAGGCAAAAACAACTTTCAATACACCAGTTTCCCCAGAACCTCCTAGAAAACTATGGTAAAAATGATAGTCACTTTTGGAGGCCTTTAGGAACACAGGCACACAAATTGTTGGAGGAGCTATGAATTGGGCCATTCTTTCTGAAAAATTATTTGGAATTATGTGACTAACATAAAAATGCTTTTAACCCATCATTACTCCTGGGAATAGAATTCCAAGGAGGTCAAAAACAAGAGAATAGGTCTTAACTATACCAAAATATTCATAGCAGCATTTCTAGTAGTAGCAACCAGGAAGCAAAGTTGTTGCCATCAATTGGGAAATGACTGAAAAGACTGTGGTACTTTAATGTCTGCAGATAGTATGACTGAGAGGATAGCATGCCAGATATTGAGATAAAAAGAAAGGCCTCAATTTAAGTCCACCTCCCATGATTAGCAGTTGTGCAGCCATTGGCAAATTATAACTTCTCTGAGCCTTATCTGTAACATGGGAATAATACCTGGAGTACCTACCTCATACAGTTACTATAAGGCTCATTAGATAACCTACGTAAGTTACTTACAAGCTTCAAAGCCCTATACAATGATAGCTTGTAGCAGCTAGCATTAATATGGCATTTTAAGATTTGCAAAGGGCTTTACAAATATTTTCATTTTTATCTCCAAAATCCTGGGAGGTAGATGCTATTATACCCATTTTACAAATAAGGAAGCTAAGGCAGACAGGCTAATAAGTGGTCCTTTGGGAAGAGAGCTTATTTTTGAAAACAGCTAAAAGTGGTTCTAACCAGGTGGGTTAGACTAGTTGGTCGATGACAGGAAAGCTTAGTAGAGACAAGATGCCTTGAAGTCTGGAAGACCTTGCCTCCAGTCCCACCTCAGATATATAATAGCTGTGGGACCTTGAGTAAGTCCCTAACTCCTCACTGCCCCAGGCATCATTCTAAACAAACTAAGTTGTAAACCACATGATCTACATTTGTAGATCAGCAATATAGTGGATAGAGTACCAGGCCTGGAATCAGGAGGACTCCTCTTCCTGAGTTCAAATTCAGCCTCAGACACTTACTAGCTGTGTGACACTGGGCAAGTTACTTAACTCTGTTTGCCTCAGTTCCTCATCTGTAAAATGAGCTGGAGAAGGAAATAGCAAACCACTCCAGTATCTTTGCCAAGAAAATCCCAAATGGGGTTATGAAGAGTTAGACATGCCTGAAATGACAGAACAACAAACAAAGGAAATCAATAGGTCTGGCCCCAAATCCAAAATAACCCCAGCTGGTCAAAGCCATTTGTGTCTCTTCCCTTCCCTTGTTCCATCCCTCAGCCCAAAAAAGTACTAAGACTCGTTTTGTTGTGAGGTTTAGAAATCAGTTCCAAAGGCAATATTGATGGAACACAATAAAACAGATTTTAGAATTGGAAGGGCCCTTAGAGATCCTCCCCTTCAATACTTTCACTTTAAAGAGAAAGAAACTGAGGCCTAGAAAGATGATATTACAGGTACTAAAAGGCCAAATTTGTAACCCTGGTCTCCTGATATCAAATCCAAAACCATTCCCACCACACCAGGCTCCTTATGTACTAGAAGGGCACCATGTAATGGGAACATCATTTGGACAAGTTTGGATGATACTTGGAAGTCTACTGCTTTGGGTATCTAAATTCTGATGGGGATTTTTTTTAATCCCTTACTTCATAGTTACAAAATACACTGCTGTGCTGGATGTGTATAAAAGCACGAAAAACTAGTTCTGTTAAATAACCTGAATAATGACACACCACAAGTGTGGTTGCTTAAAAACAAACCCAAACCAATAAAAAACCATGCAAGTCCCACTAGAGCAGAACTCCTAATAAAATAATATTTAATTTTTGCATATTTTAAAATATATACTTTTAAATTAGAATGTGGACTGGTAGTTCATCTGCCTAGCAGCAAGGATCATGGAAGAGAACTAAATGCACACAATGATAGAATGCTCCTTAAAGTAAATGATTGATTTTGTAAAAAAAATACTGTATGGGTTGAGCCAAATATTTTTTCAGAGAATATATCTTTGAAATAATTAAAATAAATATAAAAATACAGTGCAAGAAATATTTTCTTTATATACAACCTTTCACATACACAATTACAGAATGTTGAATCTCCTTAAAATAAGTATGATCACATTTAGGAGGCAGTATGGGGCAAAATAAGTATATTAATCATAGAAAAATACATTCCAAGGAGACTAATCTCAAGAGCAAGTTTAATGTCCTATTTCTTTTTTCCCCCCAGAGCATATACTGTTGGACAACTAAGAGGTCTAAAAAAAAAAAAAATACTTATTCACTATTTAACTGGTTACACAAACAATTATAAAACTGCTGTTCTATAACATAAAATAAATGGAAGTCACCAGAAATCAGTTGCTATATAATGGTTTTAATTGATTTGGAACAACACTGTTTAACACTAAATGCTTATAAAGCATCCAGTGTGGTAGACATAATTAGAGAATTAGTATACTGCCATATAAAAAGCAACTTAAAAAAATTACTAGAAATCCACAATTTAAAAGGTAAGGGGAGAGATCACTAATCAAAACTAGCATTTCCTAGTCAAGCACCATGATTCAAATAACAGAATCTCCCACGCAGGTACAGGAGTCAGAGGAGTCCAGGAGGAGTAATGCAGGGTAGTTCTGGTGTTACAGGTATATTTTAGCTCAAAGGCATCTCAGTGTATCTCAGGGTGAAGACAGTCATCCAGTTCTGAAGGAGAGAATATGAGCTTTTGTTTCGAATAGGAAAGCATCCAGACGACATTACTAGATGTTGGCATTAAGAGCTAGGAGGTTTCTTCTTGGCATCTACATCTTTTTTAATCTCTTCAAGCTTTTTGGCCAAGTTCGGAATCTTTGAAAAGAAAAGAAGAGATTTTAACTTTGCATTTAACCAATACCCTCTCCCTCTCCCCTTCCCGTCTGTCCACCAGAGACAGAAAAGTTTCATAAATATAAATATAAGATAAATTTCATAAGTTTACATTTCTTTCCCAAAGAATTCTCAAATCACAGGACTAAGAAGTACTAACTAATACTGCTACTTGAGTGCTAAATATACAAGAATTTATTAAGTTAAAAAAGGAGGCTTCCTTAAAAAGGCTCTTTCCCTATTTTTACTATACCACACATTCAAATGCTGTATGAATGAATGAGATGTATGACTAGGAAATGTTATCATTCCAATGAGAAGGATGCTACTGCAAAATGCTTTTTGGTGCACTAAAAGTATGAGTCTTGAAGACTAACAATTTTACCTACCATCCTTTAAAACAAAAACATCCTTCTCTCCTCTGAAATCAATCTTTTCAGAGGTTCATTTCCACCTCACCCACCCCCTTCATAGGTAGTCAGGCATCCTGAGTTTCTAATCTGCTTTTATCAATGATTCATTCTGTGACTCTGGGAAAATAAACTTCTTTCCCCATAATAAAGGCTCAATAGCATCTCCTAATGATAAGGATGATGATAGCCAACATTTTTATGATTTAAGATTTGCAAAACTTGACGTATATATTAAAAGTCTCCTCTGAATCTCCATCAACAACCCTGTGAGGCAGGTGCTGTTATAATCTCCATTTGACAAACGAAGAAGCTAAGGCTGAGGAATTGTTATTTTCCCAGAATTCACACAGCCAGTAAATGTCTAAGGCCAAATTTGAACTCCCAAGTTCAGTGCTCTATCTGTGAAACTATCTTGCTTCCTTAGACAGTTCTGAAGAAATCTAAAAGACTTGTAGAAACTGTACTATAAAAATTAGTCTTTAAAATTACTGATAAATTCTGTTACCATAATTAATTCCTCTCTACAAATGGAAGTGATAGGAAGCAAAAATTATCCTGCTAAAGGTCTTTTTTGCCCTTTCTACTTGATTTTCCACAGGACTTGAAGAAGAGCCCCAATTAAATGAAACAGGGCTAACAAATTACAGCATAAGATCACCGGGAGATTGCTCTCAATTGCTGACAAGTTGCCCTCTTGTGGTGACTTGGGGCGGAGATAGCACTATGTATTAAAAGTGTAATGGAAAAATATCTACTAAATGATGGACTTGCTCCCAGATTTAACACTCAGCCATCATCCCTTAAATATTTAAGGGAAAACTGCTCCTTATTTTTACTGGGATTCAGTTCTGGCAAGGAAAATGCCCACAATTAAGGTAAATCACTATAAAACACTTCAACAGAGACAAAAGGTCTTGGATGACAGCCACTTACGTCATAGTTCTGAGCCAGATACATCCCGACCACATTGCCGAGTGTAAATCCTAGCTGAAGGAAAAAATGGAATAGGAGTTACAGATGTAAAGGTGGAAGGGAAGGGAGTAAATATTTACACAGCACCTACTAAGTGACAGGCACCACATTAAGCACTTCACAAATATTATCTCATTTGATCCCAAATTGATAAAAATTGATGTCCTTTTTAGGAGAACAAATTTGGCTGTACATGAGGGAGTTACAAAACTGATTGTCCACCCCCTGACCCAATGATCCCAGCAGAAGGCACACAGCCCAGAAATTTTTTTTTTTAATAAAAAGAGAAGGAACTATATCTACAAAAAATCATTTGTGTTGCTTTATTATAAAAGCAAACTGGAAACAACTTATGTATTTAAAGATTTGGGGGATGACTGACTAAAATATGGCATAACGATGTAACTGAATATTATTGTGTGTTACAATAAGTATGTGGAAAGATAAAAAGCAAAAGCAGAATTAGAATATACACATTGAATGCAACTATATAAAAACAAGTTTTATTAAGTAAATAGGTCAATAGGAGACAGGAAACTTTTAACATTTAAATTCTTTTCTTTAAATTGTTCAGATTATATAACATTCTTGGGAGTTTGTTCCTTATTTGCATTTGTTTACACAAATTTATGACAAAATTTTTAAATTAAAAGTTATAACAGTGTTGACCTCTTCTCTCCACTTACAAGAAAAGGTAGCCAAGAAAACTTAACACTAAATCAAATACTATGACATCTTCCCAGGAGTAAAGGATAGGTATCAATCTACAGACAGGTGCAGTGAAATTCCACCCTATCTTCTCATCAAGTATTAAAGTGGGAACCTGTTTTCCTTGCCAAGGCTAACCTCTCCACATGGGTCTTTGGTCCCACCCCCTCTGCCACCTTGCTATTATTCTCACACCTTCAATCTTTGCTCTCTCTACTGACCAACTCCATCCCATCCGCCTCCAAACACGCTCAGATCTCTGCAGCCAGAAAAATCTTTTGTCCCTTTAAGCTAACATCTTTTGTCCTCCTTTTTGCTGCTAAACTTTGAGAAAGAAGTGTACATTCACTGACATATTTCCCCACCCACTTACCCCACGACCCCCACAATCTGGTTTCTGTTCTTACTTTACTGAAATTGCTCTCTCCACATCCAAGGTCTCCAAAAAGTTCTTAATTGCTCAATCAACTGGCCTTTTTTTAGTCTTCCTCTTTGACCTTTGCAAGCTTTTTAACACCCTCTATAGGAAACTTGTTCCTTCTTCATTTTAATTCTAATCTGTTCATTCTCTATCAGAGGCATTGCTATCAATTACTCTTTCTCAATACCACACATTTGAAATTATTTGAGGGGAGCGGGTAGAATAGAGGTTAATCAGATAAATCAGAGCTTAATTATTTAATTATTGTACAGTTTTCTGATACAATAATAATAAATCACCATGGTCAAACTTTAAGGCCAAAATTACAGATGCATAAACCACAACAAAATAAGGCTTTCTCTTATATTCGTGCGGCAGCTAGGTGGCTAAGTGGATAGAGTGCCAGGCCTGAAGTCAGAAAGCCTCATCTTGCTGAGTTCAGATCTGGTCTCAAACACTTACTAGCTGTGTGACCATGGGCAAGTCACTTAATCCTGTTTGCCTCAGTTTCCTCATCTGTAAAATAAACTGGAGAAGGAAATGGAAAATCACTTCAATATCTTCCAAGAAAACCCCAAAGGGGTCACAAAAAGTCAGATACGACAGGAAAACAACCAAACAGCAATACTTGTATTTATACATAATTCAAGCTTGTTTGGATCTGTAAATTGAGAGACGGGGAAAAAAAGAAAAAAAAAGCCTAGATGCAGAGAGGTATCAGTAATTTTCTTTAGAAAATTTTAGTCTTTCCGTACCATCATGCCACCTCCCAAACTATTCAAATTCTTTTTTGTAGACACTTAAATGTGGGGGTAAAATACTGCTAGCTTTAAAAAATAAAAGAATTTTTCTTTTAAGTATCAAAAATTAAAATAATTTATATGCACATCACCTTCTCCAAGCCTCATTTTTATCGTCTGAAAAATTAGAAGTCTTGACCAAATCTCTGCAGTCCCTTTCTAGATTTAAGATTCTAGAGGTTCTTCCTATGTCTCAAATTATTTCTAAACAAGTTTTAATTTTGCAATTTTCCTGGGAATTAGAGCAAGCAGGATCATAATTACAATAGTAAATACATAAAACTATCCAAATAGTTTGGAATGACTTCCAAACCCCAGTTTTTGGATACATCTTAACGTTTTGACAGAGGTTATATTTCAGAAATGGGTTGCTAACTAATCAAAATTCAAGTTAATTCACTTTAGTTTAGTAAGTACTAAGATAAACATCACTTTTTATGTTGCTCTGCAAGTCCATAAGTATAGATTATTACCATTAGAATCCAGAATTTCAGAACCAGAAGGGACCTAAGTGACCTTCTAGTCAGACGGATGGAATCTGACCAATTTTTTCCACAGGCTTTCAAAGAACCAAATTCTTTATAGATGTCATTTCATCAATGCTGGTACTCCCTATGCATAAATTGCAACCCCTTCTAATGGTTCCACCTCCTTTTGCAGGCCTACATTTTGCTTATATTTTTAATACATAATTCTTCATTGTATGGAATAGGCTCTAACCTACGTCTACTACGCATCTCTCCACTGCCCTTCAGATGACCTATAATTTTGAGTCTTTATGATTTGCAGCGATATGGGATCATCAGAAAAATACTGGTATTTAAAAGATAGGTTTATGGGAGAGATATATTGAGATATGGGGTGTATGGGGTGTTCACAGAGGATTAACACCTCTGATGGTAAGGGCAGTCAAGCCCTTTTCAAGGTTGCTCATCCACCTTTGGCATCCACCTTCACCCAACTCTCACCTGTGGCTCCAAGAAGCTGTAGCATGTGCAGCAGCCACACCCTGATAAAACCATCTGTGCAGACAGGCTAAACCAGGTTGAGGGTAACCAACAGCCCTCAAACCCAATGAGTTAGGGGGATGTCTACCCCAAGCATGTGAAGACTTCCCCCCGGGGAATGGACGAATGAGAATAATTTGTTCCAACGGCCATAAAGGTAGCTGAGGCAGGCACTGTAGAGCACTTAGAACTTGGTCAGACATTGAAAACACCAAGGTAATCCATTGCATCCTGGGCCATCTCCAGTCATCCTGACTTTTGTCTTGTTCCTGGACTTGGATAACTCAGAACAAGAGAGTTAGGTGGCTGACTTTGTGCAACTCCACCTCACTTAAATACAATTCATCCAGAAGTCAAGACATCACCCATGATGTCACTGGTCCTCTTCAAAACAAAGGACAAACAACAAAATAACACTGGAATATGTAAAAAAGTAAGAACAAAACACGTCAATAAAATTTAATCTCAGAGAAAAGATGAAGAAATGTACCTCTCTCCTTTTATTAAAAAGGTGAAGAATGTTGCATGCACAGTCACATGCAGTTATATTTATTTAACTGGTTTTTCTTCTTTGCTAAAAAGCAAGGCTTACTGGGTACAAGAGGAAGAGGGAGATATTCAGAAATGTCTCATATGAAAAGAAAAGGCATTAATAAAATAAGCAAAAATAAAAATATAGGTTTTTGTTTCTGGGAGATGCTTACAATCATTAAAAGCACTACACAATTTCCCACTTTCCTGTAGACTTGATTCTTCTTTTCAGTTCTGGTCCAATTTTATTATTCATCTGTAGTGTCTATCCAAAGTCTATGTATTGACAGACTAACAGATTATTCACCCACCTATGTATCAGTCTGGACAAGCCACATCCTTCTACCACCTTTTTTTCCCCCTGAGCAAAGTCAGACCAAACTCTTGATTTATTCTGGATTTTAATTATAAGGCTCTGCAATATTCTGGGACTTGAAAGCAATCAACACAATGCTATTTACAAACAGGAAAATCTGGAAAACCTGAGCAAACACATGAAAGCTCTACACCACTTCCACTCCCTCTTTTTGACTTGAACCCTGCACTTGACATCTTCCAAGACAGTGTCAAAAATCCTTGGCAAGTACCTGTTTACCTGCTCTGTTTTTCATTTGGTAACAACCAGAGGGTCAAATAACCCTATATATTGCACCTTTCAAGGATTCTTCCAGGGTTTAAACATAAGCATGAAACACACCATGCTGGAGAACAATCTTCAAAGCAGCAGACCTTCTCTATCCCTTCAAATACCTCCTTAATAGTCAATAAACATAGAAGGATTCTGCACCTCCTGATCAACAGCTCCACTGCAAAGATATGGCATACTACAGAATACTGCCTGCAAATGCCTGCCTCTTCTCCCATAACCCCATCAAGGACCCCCTCAACATATGGGCAGATTATTCTCATAAAGCTCCTGTAGAGATATGAAAGCAAGCCCAGGGGTCCATGGTGACTAATGTTCTTAATCACTTTTTCTATAGTTAATACTATTTTGTTTCCCAAGCATTTGGTATCCTCCTCTTTTTCAGATTGAGTCAAACAACCTATATACACATCAGCCAATTCAGATTAGATGTATATAATCTGTTGTTTCCTATCTCTTAAGACATAAATCAGCTTCATTTTTCTTTATTTAACTGGTGCTTGCCATTTTCAGCACCTTCCCACTTCTTTCCTGAAGGAAGTATTCACAATAGGTAGGTAACTCTTCTGTGAAGTCAAAGCCTTTGTCCTTTTCCTTTTCTTAATCTTGAACCACATGTTCCAACATTTCTGCTAACCTCTTCTATGCCCACCTTTGCAATTAAGTCACTGAGTATTAAGACACTCCAAATTGAATTAAACGGGCTTTACTAAGTCCTTCACAGAGTTTTTCTATCATCCTCTGCATCAAATGGTCAAACTACAATTATTATTCATGGTAGTCTTTTTTCTTTTTGTTTTACAAACTCTCATAGTTGAGTATTCAAATAAAATACCAAATGTACTATGAAATAGAAATTACTGTTACATTTGGACATACCAACTCTAAAACCAACTCTGCCA